CACAAATAAAGGAATAAAAGAAATAAGGACATACTGTCTGCTTAAAAATCAGGACTGGCTTACAACACTGAAGAGCAGTGGGATGCAGGGAACTGCAATACTGTCTGGGCTGAGAAACAAGTGTGCCAAACAGGATAGAAGAAGTGAAAGACCTTCACTACTGCACATTTTTTTTTTTTAGTCTTTTACTTAAGAAACTAATTTTTTCTCACTTGATTTTACCTTTTTGATTATTTTTATTTTCTTTCTTTTTTTTAAAAAAATATTTTTTTTATAGAGAGGAAGGGAGAGAGAGAGCTAGAAATGTCGATGAGAGAGAAACATCAACCAGCTGCCTCTTGTACACCCCCTACCAGGGATGTGCCCGCAACCAATATACATGCCGTTGACCGGAATCGAACCTGGGACTTTTCAGTTTGCAGACCAATGCTCTACCACTGAGCCAAACCGGTTTTAGCTAATTATTTTTATTTTCAATCAGTATTATTACTACTACTATTTTACCCCTTTTTTTTTTTTAAGTGTCATTTTATTTTCTCTTTATTTTACTTTGGGATTAGTGTTCTACATTCTATTTTCATCTTTCCTTTAGCATCATTTTACTCTATCTGAATTTTACCTTTATGCCATCACTCTTTTCTTCACTTTTGTTGTTCTGTTTCTCTTACCCTATTCTTTAGATTTCCCATTCCTTTTTACCCCATTAAATTTCATCATACTTATATATCTAATTTCTAATCCCCTGCTCCAAGTCCATACACACTTCTCTTTTTTCACTATCCAAATATTTTCTCTGTCATTTTGTTTACTTGATTGTTGATTATATCGTTTTTTATGCTTGTGAGATTGTTTTTCTTTTTGCTTCTGTTTTCCCTCATCTCACTTGATATTAGTTGTTGTTTGTAGTTTGCATTCAGTTGCTGGCATGTGTTGGGATTAGTGACTGTTCTATTGGTGTTTTCTCCTAATATATATAGTGTTTTTCCCATCTTCTTTCTTAATTCTCTCTTTTCTCTATTATTTTTTTTTTCCCTTCACCCAATTTCATTTTCACATTCCTTTTCTTCTCTTCTCCTTTCTCTCCTATCTTCTAATTCGCCTTTCTCTGGTGGTCACTTTATTTGGGGAGAGAAGAAGATATATGTACTACTATATATATTTAATACTTTAAACAATAAAAAAATAAAAATAAAACTAGTGGCCCAGTGCATGAAATTCATGATTGGAAAGGGGGTATCTCTCAGCCTGGCCTGCACCCTCCCCATTCTGGGACCCCTTGAGGGATATCCGACTGTTAGTTTAGGCCTGATCCAAGTGGAATCAGACTTAAACCAACAGTCAGACATCCCTCTTGCAATCTAGCACCACTGGCTCCAAACCGCTCACCTGCCTGCTGGCCTGCTTGCCCCCAACTCCTCCCCTCCCCGCTGGCCTGATCACCTCCAACCACCCACCCCTCCAGGCCTGCATGATCCTAACGGCCTCTGCTTTGACCCTGCCACCATATCTTTGTCTGTAAGGTAATCTTGAAGATCTCCCGGATCTAATTAGCATATTACCCTTTTATTATAATAGTATAGATGGAACGAGCTCTGCACATTTGCTTTCATTATTTTTTGAAGAGCCCTTTGCAGATATGGAATAGGAAAGCAACCAAAGATGTATATTCACATTTAAGAGGCATTAAAAAATTTTCAACTTAAGGATATTAAGCAGCATTTACAAATGCAAAAAAATTTCATAAATTATTCAAATAGTATAATATTAGCCTCTGTGAGTTAGAATAGCTTGATATTGTCCCATTTTGGTTCTTAGGAGGTTCTTTCTTTGTATGTCACTCTGAGTGTTAGTGTGGCTTGTTTCCCGCAGTTGTTGCAGCTATGATGGGAATGCCTTGTCCTATGTGTCTGTTCTCTAAGTAGTGTGATTTACGGGATTCTGGGCAAGCGGCTTCATCTAAGTTAGCGGTTCTCAACCTTTCTAATGCCTCGACTCTTTAATACAATTCCTCATGTTGTGGTAACCCTCAACCATAAAATTATTTTCATTGCTACTTCATAGCTGTAACTTTGCTACTGTTAACCAATCATTATGTAAATATCTGTGTTTTCCGATGGTCTTAGGCGACCCTGCAAGTGGTTTTCAATCTGTGGTTCACGACCCACAGGTTGAGAACTGCTGCTGTAGAGCCTAAGACCATCGGAAAACACAGATATTTACATTACGATTCATAATTTAAGTCACAGTGCCTTCCATAGTAGGGGCTGGAAAGGCGGCAGCATAGTGTATTAGAAAGAACTTGGGTCAGAGAGACTGGGATACAAATACCAATCACTGCTCCTTACTAGCTAAGTCATCTTGGGCAAGTGATTTCACTTAAGCCTTACAGTGGGGTAACTAACTCTTCTCTTCTTTATATTAAATAAATATCAATACACTAAAGAGGCTGTTGCAGAGTTGTACTAAGCAATTAGTACTTTAATTTATAATTCTAGACAATCTAGAAAGGTGCACAAAAGTTAGTACAGTTGACCCTTGAAGAACATGAGGGCTAGTTTAGAGGCCCAGTCCCTGTGCAGTCGGAAATCTGCATATAACTTTTGACTCCCCCCAAATTTAACTATAGTTGTCGCTCGGTATTGGAGGACCACCCATAGATACCAAAATCCGTGGATTTGCAAGTCCCTTATATAAAATGGTGTAGAACAATGTACAGTCAGCCCTCCGCATCTGTGGATTCCCAATCCATGGTTGGCTGAGTCTGCAAATGGGAAACCTGGGGATACAGAGGGCTGACTATATATTTATCGGGGGGGAAAAACCAACAACCACATATAAATGAACCTGGGCAGTCAAAACCCATGTTTTTACAAGATCAACTGTATTTTCTTACAAAAACATCAACTTACATAGTAGGGGCTAAATATATATATTTTAATACATAAGTGGCATAATTTATAACCTCTCCATATTTTATAACATGTGACCAGTAAATACTTCAAAACCTCTTATGCTGGGATCTTGCTATATGGTGATTTTTGGGGCTCTTGAATAATTTTTACAATACTTTTTTTTTTTAGTATATTTGGTTTGGTACCAATCTACTATATTTAATATAACAGCTACAGTATTGTGTTAACATACTTAACACCAAAACTACATTAGAAATTTTGATTAACTTGCCTAATGCTCTTGAATTGTTTATAAATTATGTGATGCCCAAAACTGTTTTAAGAAAATGTTAACTTGCAAAATAATATTTTTCTTTCAAAATTCAAGACACATTTAACATATGGATTTCACAATAAAGTTTATTAGCTGTTCTCCTCTTTCTCATAAATGGAATGGATAATGTTGATAATTCTTTACAAACCAGTACTCATTGTTTAAGAAACTGTAATGCGGAGGTTGTCAAAAACACAAATTTAATTAACAACACCAAAAAAAGCAATGGAAGCAAAACAATATTATTAATATGAAACACCAGAGAAACTGATTTCTGAAATCATATCTACCTTTCACTATAATTTCTTAAAATCGTTCATCATGAAGATCTGTGCAACTCTAGTGAAAAGCAGCCACGAGAGAGAAAGGGTGTGCAGTCTGAAGGGGAAATCACTCACACACATGAGGTTTTTTGCCTGTTTTCCTATTAATGAAAGGAGAACTGGAAGGAGAGGCATATGACCAAATTCAAACCCAATGACAAAAATAACAGTAACAAAAACAAAATCAAACCAACCAGGAACCATTTGAAAACTTTTATAGAAAAGAGGAGAACATGCATACTTTTACTTGTAATCTAATTTCCCTAAAGGTTTCTTTCCATAACCACCATACCCATGTTTTCAGTTCACATGATTAAGGAAGATAAAGTCTAATCAATTAATATTTAATTAAAAACAAACAAACAAAAAGAGTAGGTGGCAAAAGAAAAAAATATATTTTAAATATATATGTTTGTGTGTGCAACTATGTAAAGAAAATAATTCCCATAGTTACAGAGTTTAGTTAAAGAAAGTTTTATATATATTTATATATATATATTTATTATAACAAAATAGGCAGTTATTGTGGGTAAAATATTCATTAAAATCTGACCCCTAAGGATATGTTTAAAGTTTAGACTATAAGTTGGACTCCTTTTCCATGGTCACGATTACTATATCACCACTATAATGTTGGCTTTGTCTGTACTTTTGTCTATGAAATTTTCCCAACCTTATCTGTAAAAGGTAAGCTCCACCTAGCACCTAAACTGGCCTCAATTCAGAAATGTGATGCTTATTACATATGGACAACTTTTGTAAGAATAGTGTTGCTCAATTATGTTAAAAACATTTAAACATTGTTATCCCTAGCAGATGTATTGGAAAGAAAAACACAAAGCCCTTAAATAATAATAGACTTTAAGAACTCTTATGAAAAATGAATATCCTTTGTGAAATTAAGAAAGTTAATCCAGACATTTAATTTTGAAATTAAAAACATATTTTCTTATTTTTCTATAATGAAATATTGGTTCAGATAAGACAGATCAATTGAGAAAAGGATTTGAGAACTAGTATATTGGCCAAACCATGCTATTAAAGTTAAGCATGCACTGTTGCTCCAAGCTTACTAAATCATTAAAACCACTTTTCTTTCATTTATATTGAAATTTGAAAAAATGTATATAAAGCTTTTCTGAAAATCTTTTAAAGTTACTTTCCCTTAAACATTAAGGAATTTTACCACAATTTCCCCATCTTCCCAAATTCTTAATAGCTGGTCAGGCCATTCCATTTTCAGTTCTGAAAAATGGCCATAAACCAGGAGTGATATAAAATAATACAGATGCTACAACTTGAAGGAGACACTAGGTTGCAAAAATAAGTAGATTTGCAGACCATGATGAGTGGGATAAGATTCAACATGGAAGGAGTATTAAAGACAGACTCCAAAAGAAAGGGAAAAGAAATGTCAAAGAAAATGAGACTGGAACAGAAAAACATCAGTCCTCATAACTTTTCTTTCGCTGGAACCCAGATGTAAGGACCAGACTGTTCTTCTATGATTTGCTTCACTTGGTTGTAAATGTCTTCCAGCGTATCGCCCTGTACAATAGCTGTAATGAAATCAGAAACTCCCATTAAATTATCTATCTTCACCATTATAATTATTGGTGAAATAATAGACGCCAAATCTTAGAAACAGCTATTCATTCAGGAAGGGATACCATTTATGCATTGTTTAGTTAAATTGCTCATTTAATTAATTTTCCTATTTGTAAAATATAAAAAAATTTTATTTTAAAAACTGATAAAAAATGGGACTTGGTAATTTTTACTTTCTCTTATGTATTTGGGAAATACACACTGAAGTATTTAGAGCTAAAAGAGTATCTGTCTGCAACCTACTCTTAAATGTTTCAGAAAAAATTATAAATGTGGTAAATGTTAACATTCGGGGAATAAGGAGTAAAAGTATATAAGAATTGCTGGTACTTCTCTTACAATTTTTCTTTAAGTCTGAAATTATTATGGCACTATGGTACTTAGTGTGACTACCAAATATACACTTACCATTATTTCAAATAAATAAATGACAATAATGACAAAAAACTGTTCAAAGATATCTAAGGGGTAATTTAAAGGACAAAATGAATTAGATTATTTGGAAATTGCTACTCATTCTTTTCTTTTTAAAGAAATAATACTTTAAAATGGATCAAGATTTATAAAGGATAAAAGTCAATTTCATAGAAAAAATAAAATCTGAGTCTATTTTTCTCCAGTCATGTGTGAATTATTCTTATATGCTATCCTAATCGATAACACAAGAAATACTAAATTTCAAGAGTCCTCATCACTACTGCCTAGGTTAAATGTATTATTCTGAAAATGAGAGTATCAATTACTACTGGTAGATGTGAGCATAGTTCAAAATCCTTTTCAATGGGTCACTTTATATGGCTCCAAAGCAAAATTCTATCATAAAGGGCATTGTCACATATGATGCTAACCTGTGAAATGCTCAGTAAATTCTTGTTCCAGTTTCATGGCTCTCTCAAATGTTTTTCTGGCTTGTTCTTCTGTTAGTCGCTTATTCATTTCCCTATGCAAATAAATTTAGAAATTTGTAATTACATTATAATATTTTTTGAAGACAGATGACAAAGGAGAGAAGACATAAAAACATAAAATCATGAAAAGCTGAGCTCTGTTGAGACAATGAATGTCATTAAAAACTAGATTCAGTCACTGAATATGTAGCTTTATACTAGGAATGACAGAAGGGTTTTTAACACATCTTTGCATTGGCTCAAGGCAGCCAAGAAAATTAAGATTCAACAGTTTAGATTTTGGTAAAAACTTCATATCTAAATATGACTTACAGATATCCTACCAATTCATAGATGATAAAAGGGACATAAACATTAAACAACACTATAATAAGGCAATTAGAAAAATATAGTCTGGGAAAAGCCACAGAAGAAATAATTTAGTTTCTTCAATAAACAGGGGAAAAAAGATATGTTTGAATCAAGTTCCAAGTAAGGTCTCTTCATGACAATTTAGAACTTGATTCAAACAAATTGAATAACATACACAAAACTTAGAAAACAATCAGGAAAATTTGATATTTAATGAGTTACTAAGTGTGACATAATGTTTTTATTTTTATTAAATATATTTTATTGATTTTTTACAGAGAAGAAGAGAGAGGAATAGAGAGTTAGAAACATTGATGAGAAAGAATCATCGATCAGCTGCCTCTTTCACACCCCACACCGGGGATATGCCCGCAACCAAGGTACATGCCCTTGACCGGAATCAAACCCGGGACCTTCCAGTCCGCAGGCTGACGCTCTATCCATTGAGCCAAACCGGTTTCGGCCATAATGATGTTTTTAAATAGGAAATTCCTATCTTTCAAGAACATACTGAAATATATGGATGAAATCATATAATATTTGGGGGGGGGCAGAGAAACAAGATTGATCATAAATGGTAATTACTGTTGCAGCTGAATGATGGGTACATGGGAGTTAGTTTCCTATTTAAAAGAGTGAAAACTTTCAATATTTCACCATTAAATATGATGTTTGCTTTCATATTTTGTAGATGACCTTAATGAGATTAAGAAAATTCCATTCTATTCAGTTTTAAAAATGTTTTTGTCATGAATAGATAATTTTATCGAATGTTTTTTCTGTTTATTAAAATGATCATATGCTTTTATACCTAAAATCTGTTACTGTGGTACGCTACAGTGATTAAAAAAAGTAAATTAAAAATTGTGGCTGGTGTTGCTCAGTGGTTGAGCATCAATCTATGAACCAGGAGGTCAGGGTCTGATTCTTGGTCAGTGTTCATGCCCGGGTTGCAGGCTCGATCCCTGGTGTGGGGTGTGCAGGAGGCAGCCAATTGATGTTTCTTTCTCATCACTGATGATTCTCTCTCTCTCCCTTTCCCTTCCTCTCTGAAATAAAAAAAATATTTTAAAAAATTGTGGTAAAATATACATGACTAAATATATAAAGCTACCATTTAAACCATTTTTACACGTACGGCTCAGGAGTATTAGTACCTTCCTTCATGTTGTTGAAACCATCACCACCATCCATTCCTCTAATTCTTTTCATCTTGTAAAACCAAATACAAGACCTATTAAAAATAACTATTCTTTCCTCCTCCTAGCCCCTGGCAACTACCATTATACTTTCTATCTCTATGATTTTAACAACTGTAAGTACTCCATGGTAAGTGGAATTTGTCTTTTTTGTGATTGGCTTATTTGACTTAGCATAATGTCTGCAAGGTTCATCCATGTTGTACCATATTGCAGAATATCCTTCCTTTGTATGTATACAACACATTTGCTTATCCATTCATCCTTTGATGAACACTTGGGCTTCTTCCACATTTTAGCTATTGTGAACCAATGCTACTGTGAACATGGGTATACAAATATCTTTTCAAGACACTAATTTCAATTTTTGTGTGTATATATTCAGAAGTGGAATTATTGCATTGTATGGCATTTCTGTTTTTATTTTTGAAGAACTGCCATGCTATTTTTCATAGCGGCTGTACCATTTTACATTCCTACGAGTGTGCAGGAGCTCCAATTTCCCCACATCCTTGCCAGCACTTGTGTGTGTGTGTTTGAGGTGATATTTCACTGCAGTTTTGATTTGTATTTCCCTAACAGTGATGTTAAGCATCTTTTCATGTGCTACTATTGTTCATTTGTATATGTTCTTTGGAGAAATGTTTATTCAAGCACTTTATCCATTTTTGAATTGAGTTGTTTTCCTATTAAGTTTTAGGAGTTCTCTATATATTCTGGATATTAATCCTTTACCAGATATATGATTTGCAAATATTTTCTCCCATTCTGTGGGTTGTCTTTTTACTTTGTATATTGTGCCTTTTGATACAAAAAACTTAAATATTTATGAAGTATAATCTTAAAAAAAATCCTCACCCAAGGATATGTTTTCATTGATTAAAGAAAGGAGAGAGAAGAGGGGGGGAGAGAAGGGAGACAGACAGACAGACACACAGACACACAGACACACACACACACACACACACACACACACACACACCAATTGCCTCCTGTATGTGCCCTGACCAGGGATTAAACCCGCAACCTAGGTACGGAATGTGTCCTAGGATTTGAACCTGTAATTTCCTGGTGTATGGGATGACACTCCAACCAAGCGAGTCACTTGGCTAGGGCAAGTCTATTTTTTTGTGTGACACTTTTGTTATCTACACCTTTAATATCATAACTGCCAAACCCACTATTGTGAAGCTTTTGTCCTATTTCTTTTTCCCAGGTTTTACTGTCTTACATTTAGGTCCTTGGTCCATTTTGAGTTTTTGTAGAAGGCTTAGGTAAAGGTCCAACTTCATTCTTTGCATGTGGGTATTGTTTTTTCAGCACCATTTGTTGAAAAAGACTTTTTTTCCTCTCCTTTGAATAATCCTGCATCCTTGTTAAAAAGCAATTGTTTATATTCATGAAGGTTTCTGAGCTTTCTATTCCATCCCATTGGTCTATATGTCTGTCTTTCGGTCAATACCACATTGTGATGATTACTATATCTTTGTAGTAAATTTTGGTATCAGGAAGTGTGAGTCTTCACGTTTTACTGTTTATTTTTTATTTATTTATTTTTTTAAAGGGACTGCACTGAATTGCATCTGTAGATTGCTTTGAAAAGTTTTGACATTTTAACAGTAAGTCTTCTTCCTAATCCATGCACATGGAATGTGTTTTATTTATGTCTTAACTTCTTCAGTGTTTCATAGTTTTCATTGTACAAATCTTTCACCTTGGTTAATTTTAGGCATTTTAATCTTTTTGATGCTATTATAAATGCAATTGTTTTTATAATTTCATTTTCAGATTATTCAGTGTGTATGTAGAAATGCAACTGGTTTTGTTGACTTTGAATGTAGTTTTCTTTCCTTATAGTGTCTTTGTATCAGTGTAATATTGCCTTCATAGAATGAGTTAGGATATATTCTCTCTTCAATTTTTTGGAAAAGTTTGAGGATTTGCATTAGACATTTTAAAAATATTTGGTAAAATTCACCAGTGAAGACATCTGGTTCAGGACGCTCCTTTGTTGGGAGTTAATGATTCAGTGTCCTTACCAGTTATAAGTCAATTTAGATTTTCTATTTCTTTGTAATTTAGTCTTGGTAAGTTTTTTCTAGGAATTTCCCATTTCTTTTGGAGCTCAATTGTTAATTTTACTCTTATAGTCACTTTATTTCTGTAGAATCAGTAGTAATGTCCCCAGTTTCATTTCATATCCTAGTAATTTGAGTCTTCTTTTCCCCCCTTAATCCATCTAGCTAAATGTTTGTCATTTTTTGCCCATTTTTATGAAGAACCAACTTTTGGTTTCACTGATTTTTCTCTACTGTTTTCTATTTTGTTGATCTCTGTTCTAATCTTTATTCACTTCCTCTGTTAGTTTTGGGTTTTGTTCTTTTTTTAGGTCCTTAAGTTATAGTTAGGTTAATTTGACATTTTTTTTTGCTTTTTGGAGAATACTTTTTTCCATTGCTTTTCAAAGAGACTGGAAGAAAGAGAAGGAGAGTGGGAGGGAAGAAGAGAGAGAGAGAGAGAGAGAGAGAGAGAGAGAGAGAGACAGACCCATTGATGGGAGAAGGACACATCGATTGGCTGCCTCCTATATGTGCCCCAAATGGGGGCAGGGAGTGAATCTACAACCTAGGTACATGCCTTTGACTGGGAATCAAACATGAGATCCTTAGGTGTGAGGACTGATGCTCTAATCACTGAAGACCACTGGTTAGTGCTTTATTGCTTTTTAATGTAAGCATTTATAGCTATAAATTACTGTTAACACTGCTTTTGCTGTGTACCATACATTTTCATGTTGTTTCTGTTTTCATTCATCTCTTAAATATTTTCTAATTTCTCAAGTGATTTCTTCTTTGACCCACTGCTTGTTTGTTAATTTCCACAATTTTGTCAGATATCCAGTCTTACTTTTGATATCTAAATTCAACCTACTGTAATTAGAAAAGATACTTTCATGATACTTATCTTTTAAAATCTATTTAGGCATTTTGCCACCTATGGTCTATCCTGGAAAATGTCCCATGTGCAAATGAGAATGTATATAAAATGGGGCATTAGTAGGTTATAGTTGTGAGTACACAAAACAGCTATTCTTGTATTATTTTCCATACAAAGAACTATAAACCTACCTTGGCTCCATCCTGTAATCTGTTGTTGTTGGGTAGAGTGTTCTGTATGTGTCTATTAGACCTAACTGATTTATTGTGTGGTTTAAGCCCTCCATTTCTTTATTTATTTTCTGTCTGGCTGTTCTATCCATTACTGGGAGTGGGAAATTGAAGTCTCTGACTATTATTGTAAAACTTTCTCCTTTTATAATCTCATGATAAAATGAATGAATGAGGAGTTGCTTCATATGGATAAACAAAGAAAGTGATTTATTGAGATGGAATCTACTCCTGGTGAAGGCACTGTGAAGACTGTTGAAATAACAAGAAAGAATTTAGAATATACATAAACTTAGTTAATAAAGTAACAGTTTACGCCTAAACCCATTTTGCTCAGTGGGTAGAGCATCGGCCTGAGGACTGAAAGTTCCCAAGTTCAATTCCAGTTAAGGGTAAGTACATTGCTTGCGGGCACATCCCCAGTGGGAGGTGTGCAGGAGGCAGCTGATCAATGATTCTCTCTCATCGATGTTTCTGACTATTCCTCTCTGTAAAAAATCAATAAAATATATGAAAAAATAAAGTAACAGTTTTCTTTAATTTTTAAAAAAGCTTTTATTTTTTATTTATTACTTTTTAAAAAGTGTTTTTCTTTAGTAGGATTTTTTTATTTTTATAAATATATTTTATTGATTTTTTACAGAGAGGAAGAGAGAGGGATAGAAAGTTAGAAACATCGATGTGAGAGAATCATTAATCAGCTGCCTCTTGCACACCCCCTGGGGATGTGCCCTCAACCTAGGCATGTGCCCTTGGTTGAAAATGAACCTGGGACCCTTCAGTCTGCAGGCTGACACTCTATCCACTGAGCCAAACCAGTTTTGGTAGGATATTCTTTTTTTAAAAAATACAGAGTGGCCAGATTATTATGATCTCTGAATGCGTAATAATCTGGCCACTCAAGAGTATATTCTATATAATAAAAGGTTAATATGCGAATTGTTCCCTTGACCAGCAGGCAGGCTGGCCAACTGCCCAAGTCCCCTCCCCCTGGCCAGGCTGACAGGACCTCACCCATGCACAAATTCATGCACTGGGCCTCTAACACACACACACACACACACACACACACACACACACACACACACACAGTGGCCAGACTATTATGCATTCAGAGATAATAATAATCTGGCCACTCAGTGTATATCTTTGATTTTAGAAAGGAAGGGAAAAGGAGAGGAAGAGGGAGAGGGAGAAGAAGAAGGAGAGGGAGAGGGAGAGGGAGAGGGAGAGAGAAACATCAATGTAAACATTTCTACTGAGTACATATCTAGAAATGAGATTCTAGTTCTTAAATTATGTGTCCAGCTTTAGGAGATACTATGAACAGTTTACAAATGTGGAAGTATCAACTTATACTCTTATCAGTGTTATGAGTTTCAGTTGCTCTAAATACTTGCCAACATTTGACATTTTCTTTCAGGGTCTGGGTGGTAGATTATGACACTGGTTTTAACTTACATTTCCATGATTAATTGATCACCATATCTCATGTTTACTGATTATTTGAATATCTCCTTTTGTGAAGTGTCCAAGTCCTTTGCTCATTAATTGCCTGTGCTAACCTTTTTAAAGTCTACTGAATGTGTAATGATATTCCCACTTTAATTCTTTGTATTATTTATGCCTTCTTTATTTTCTTTCCTTAATCTTTCTTATTAACATTTTATAGTATTTTCAAAGACAACATTTTTGGTTTTGTTGATCCTCTCTACCATAATTTTGTTTTCTATTTCATTAAGTTCTACCTTCTTTGAGTTTAATTGTCTGGTGTTTTTCTAATTTCTCAAGATCTTAGATTTTCAACATTTATTCCTAATATTTGACTTCCAGCATTCTTTCCTAATACTTACAGTTGTAGATTTCCATATGCATGGCTGCTAGATCCTCCAAATTTATTTACTTGACAATTTCATTAGCATTTAGTTCAAAACATTTATTAATTTAGGCTGATTTCTTTTTGATCCATTCAGAAGTATAATGCATAACCCCAAATATATGGGAATTTTCTAGTGATCTTGTTGATTTCTGTTTTAATTTCATAATGGCAGAGAATATTTGTTTTCAATCATTTGTATTCTTTTTAAAAAAAATATATTTTATTGATTTTTTTTACAGAGAGGAAGGGAGAGGGATAGAGTTAGAAACATCGATGAGAGAGAGTCATCGATCAGCTGCCTTTTGCACACCCCCTACTGGGGATATGCCCGCAACCAAGGTACATGCCCTTGACCAGAATCGAACCCGGGACCTTTCAGTTCCCAAGCTGACGCTCTATCCATTGAGCCAAACCGGTTTCGGCACTGTTTGTTTTCTTATTCCATTACTTTCTGACTGATGTGTTAAGTTTTCCCATTATGATTGGGGGATTTTTCTTTTCCTATACAGTTGTATATTTGTGCTTTATATATTTAGAAACTGGGCTACTAAATGCAAATAAATGTCTAAGTAGATCTTCCTATAGAAACTTTTATTTTTGTAAAATTGCTCTTTTATATCTCTATTAATACTTCTTGCTTTAAACTATAATTTGATATAGAAATATAAACCAGCTTGCCTTTAATTTTTGCAGGGTATATCTTTTTTCTATTCTCTTACTTTTGGCCTTTCCATAGCTTAATATTTAAGGTGTGCCTTATGAAAGCAACATATAGGTGAGAGGTTTCATACACACTATCGCAAAATATGGTACCTTGGCATACTGCATATATTAAGATAAAGAAATTGAAAAAATGACAGGTGCAGGAAGAACTCTGACCTACCCCTGAAGTAGGTCATAAGATCCTCAAGTGAGAAATGACCTCCCTATAGCTGGAGAAAAGCAGCATTCCTGGAGGGATGCTAAGAGGAATTTGAATGAACTTTGGTAAGTTTCATCTAGTTTACTACTCTTAGCTCATATCCTATGGTCCTATCACATTTTCCCGTGACTTTCTGCTCTTTGTCAAACCTCGTATAAAAATGTTCAGGTTAACCATTTCTTTGGATCTTCATTTCCTTATGAAGCCTTCTATGCCATGAAAAAATTAAATCTGTAAGCTTTTCTTTTGTTAATCTGTCTTTTGTCACAGAGACACGCTTAGCACCTAGAAGAGTAGAAGGAAAAAAATTTTTCTTCTGTAAAAGCAAGACAGTTGTTTTTTCTTTATCCATTCTGATGATCTTTTTCTTTAACTGGACTCTTTAGTCTATCATTTAATTGATGAAATATTTGAGTTCATTTATACTATATTACTATCTGTATTCTTTTTGCCTTGCTTATAATATGTTTTTGTCTGCCCTTTTCTCTCTTCTTTCAGTTTTTATTTAAATTATATTTCTTGCCCTCTATTATACAACATTTTATTTCTTAATAGTTACTCAGAGCTGTACTGCTGCTCAATTCAGTAGGTATTAGCCAAATGTGACTATTTAAATTTAAAATTTTAATTCATTTCCTTATATTAATACTTAAGTATATTAATATTGGTGATGATGATGATAGTTTATATCACAGAGCGCTTATTTAATCTTCACAATTCAAAAAGGTGGGTATACTATTAATTTCTCCATTTTACAGATAAAGAAACTAAGATATAGGGAGTTTAAGTAAATTACCTAAACTAATAAATGATAGAGACTGAATCTCTACTTAGAGCCTATGTCTTATTTCACTTACATGATATTTTCCACGGATTTGGGCTTAATAAAAATGGAGATTGGGTAAAGTTGTGCAATCTGTAATCTCTTTATGGCATTTCCAGACACATCGAGGATACAGTGTTTGCCCTATAATAGAGGAAATAAAGAAAAAAAACAAGTGAAACAAATATTTTTCAATAATATCAAAGATATATTTCCTATACGTACAGAATCAGAATTATATTTTTGGAACCTTTTCAATTTAAGCAAACTTGTCATTTTTGTTAGCAAATTAAATAAAGACAATGGATGACTGAATAATTAATTTTCCATTCTCAAATGTTACATTTAAAAAGGAATGAAAATACGTTAAGAAACCTGGCTCTCATTATTGTCATATTAATTTGCTCAATTCTAGAATATACAGTAGTTTCATGACTGTTAACTCATACCACTCTGAAAAACAAGAGTTCAATATTTATTTACAGATATTTTTGTATTTAGCCGTAATTCAGGATTATTGTGATTAAGACCCTCCTCTCTTCCCCTCCCCTCTTTAATGCAGTGATTCGTTTGAAATATAGTTAATTTAGTTCCTGTTTGTATGTCATTTTTCATTTCTCTCAACTTTCCTTTTTTCTTTAAAAAAATGAATAAAATGTTAACATAGTTCTAAAAGTCAAAATTATATAAAAAGGTATCCTTGAAATGTCACCCTTCATCCTTTCAACTCATTTCTATCTCCCATCCTTTCCCAACCCTTCCTCTGTAGCTAACCAATTTCATTAGTTTCTAATTTATTATTTCTATATCTAATTTTTGTGTGAGTTGTGTATTCATATCTTTTTTCTATTATTTTATTAGATATTTGGTCTCTTATTTCTTTAATTTTTAAGAGTTCTTTATGTATTTAAAATAGCAGCCCCTTGCTTGCAATTTTTTTCTTTGTCACTTGCTTTTTGATTTTGGTAACAGTGTTTTCCAATAGTTTTTGGAAAAGTTTTTTTTTTTTTTTTGCTAAGTAAATACCATTTTTATTTTTAAAAAATATATTTTATTGATTTTTTACAGAAAGGAAGGGAGATATAGAGCTAGAAACGTCAATGAGAGAGAAACATCAATCAGCTGCCTCTTGCACATCCCCCACTGAGGATGTGCCGGCAACCAAGGTACATGCCCTTGACCGGAATCAAACCAGAGACCTTTCAGTCCCCAAGCCAACGCTCTATCCACTGAGCCAAACCGGTTTCGGCCCCATTTTTATTTTTAATGTGGTCAAATTTATCAGAATTTTATTGGATCCAAATTTTAATTCATAGTAAAATACTTGCACTATGACTAGGTTATATTTTCTTCTTTCAATTGTATTACAGCCAATGTTTGTGTATAGTGTTAAGTGTGGGTTTAAATTAATTAACTAAATTTTTTCTAGTCGTCCCAGCACTATTTACCAAAAAGTCTTTTATTAAAAGCCCTGGTGAGTGGAGATTGCACCTTCAACATCCTATATAATAAAACCCTAATATGCAAATCGACCAAATGGCAAAACAATCCGTAGCTATTATATGCACTGAACACCAGGGGGCAGATGCTCAATGCAGGAGCTGCCCCCTGGTGGTCAGTGTGCTCTCATCGGGAGAACACGGGTTAGCCAGAAATCAGGTGAGTGCAGTGGTGGTGCTGGAAGCCTACCCACCTTTGTGGCATTGCTAAGGAGCAGCGAGCAGGCGGGTAGTAAGGAGCAAGGGGTCCTGGGTTGTGAGAGGGATTTCTGACTGCAAGGGGGATGTCCGCCTGCAGGTGAGAGGGTGCAGGCCAGACCGAGGGACCCCCCTGCCCCTGTATTTCATGCACTAGGCCTCTAGTACACTATATTTTCATATATATTTGGGTATTGCCTGGACTCTCTTTTCTATTCTACTGGTCTGTTTGCCTATTCATATGACAGTATTATACTAGGTTTTAATTAAGAGACTTTATAGTATATTTTAATATGATAGGGCTAGAATCCCTTATAGCTTTTTTGTATTGTACTTGCTTCTCATATAAACTTCAATTTGACTTATCAAGTCCCATAATAAAGCTGGCAGATGTTTTTTATTGGGGTTGTGTTCATATATATATATTAGCTTAGACAGAATGGACAGCTCTGCAATATTGAGTCTTCAATTCATGAACATGGTGTATCTCTCCATTTATTTAAGTCTTTAATTCCCTGAGCAATGCTTTGGAGTTTTCATTGTATGGGTCTCAATATCTTTTGTCAGCTTTATCTCTAAGTATTTAATATTTTTTGATGTCACAGTAAATAATGTTTTTAAAATTTCAATTTATGATTGGTCTGGTATATAGACATGCAACTGATTTTTAAAAAAATAAATCTTTATTGTTCATATTATTACAAAAGTTCATTTTTCCCCCCTCCACCAGGTTCCCACCCTACCCTCTACCCTTTCCACACACCTCACTGTCCTCATCCATAGGTGCACAGTTTATGTTCAGTCTCTTCCTGCACCCACCCCTCTTTCCCCTGAGAATTGTCAGTCCACTCCCCTTTCCCTACTTCTGATTCTATTATATTCAACAGTTAATATTGTTCATAAGATTTTTTAATTCCCTTGGTTTTTAGATTCACTTATTGATAGTTACATATTTGTTGTTCGTAATTTTTATCTTTATTTTCTTCCTCTTCCTAAAGAACCCCCTTCAGCAATTCATATAATTCTGGTTTGGCAGTGATGAACTCCTTTAGCTTTTTTTTATTTGTGAAGCTCTTTATCTGGCCTGAGTGATAGGTTTGCTGGGTAGAGTATTTTTGGCTGTAGGTTCTTGCTATTCATCACCTTGAATATTTCTTGCCATTCCCTTTTGGCCTGCATGGTTTCTGTTGAGAAATTCAGCCGACAATCGTATGGGTGCTCCTTTATAGGTAACTACCTGCTTTGCTCTTGCTGCTTTTAATATTCTCTCTTTGTCTTTTGCTCTTGGAATTTTAATTATGATTTGTCTTGGTGTGGTCCTCTTTGGATTCCTTTTGTTTGGGGTTCTGTGTGCTTCCTGGACTTGTAAGTCTATTTCTTTCCCCAGGTGGGGGAAGTTTTCTGTCACTATTTCTTTCAATATGTTTTTGGTATCTTGCTCTCTGTCATCTTTTGGGACTCCCATAATTCTGATGTTGGTTCTCTTGAAGTTGTCCCAGAGGTTTCTTACACTATCTTCAACTTTCTGGATTCTCTTGTCTTCTTGCTTCTGCAGAGGAGTGTCCTCTGGCTCTTTGTGTTCCAAATCTTTGACTTGATTCTTACAATCTTCCATTCTGTTTTTAGGACTCTATAATATTTTTTTATTTCAGAGAATGTATTCTTTATTTCTAGTTGATCCTTTATTATTTCTTTTTAATCTCCTTTCATATCTTCATAGGTCTTGTTTATTTTATCGGCCTTTTCTAGGCGATTCTTGAAAAACCTTGTAAGAGTGGTTTTGAACTCTATATCCAGTCGCTTTTTGTCCTCCATTTCTTTCGTTTGTGATCTGTTTCCTTGTCTTGGCATTTTTGCTGCTTCCTTGAGTTGGTAGGGGGGGAGGATCAGTTGTGTCTATGCCAGGAGACAGCCTTATTCGACTAGACTTGGAAAACTGCAAGAGCCTCTGTGTTCAGCTTGGATGGGGTGGAGTTTCAGGGTGGAGCCTACAGCCTTGGCTTCCGGTTAGCCCTGCCCTATGAGGTTCCTGAGTCTCAGTGTTCCTCAGTGTCCTTTGGTACTCGCTGCAAGCACCTCTGAGAGAAAGGTGCCCTAGAGTTTCGCCTGCTACCAGACAGTCTAGTCTCTCCCCCAACGAGCCCGCAACTGGGATTCAGTGCAGTTGGAAGTGGGGTTAAGAGCAGTCCAGAGCTTATGTCTCTTTCCTGCAAGGGCAATCCAGTGGCTCAATCAACAGCCTGTCCTCTGCGCGAAATGTGTGCGACTTGAGGGCTCTGCCTTTCGCCGCTCCCCTGAGCTTCCGCTTCACAGCCCAGATTCCCTCTGTATGTGTCTGGGTCTCCAGGGTCTCACTCAGAACTGGGGTTCAGTGCTGTCGGAACTGGAATTCAGCACAGTCCGAAGCTTTTATCTCCTTCCTGCTAGCCAGGCACTCAGCCGCCCCTCCTCTCCGGCTCTGTCCTCTCCACACACGCAATGTGTCTCTGTACCTTAGGCTTTTACAGCTCCTCTGATTTTCCTTCTGGTTTTCTCTTTCCTTCTCACTGTAGAATTTCCAGTCAGGCAACTTTCCTGTAGTTCTGGATAATGTCCACTTTATATTTTAGTTGTATTTTTTGAAATTATTGTGTGAGGCTGTAGTTTAGGTGGTTACCTATGCCGCCATCTTGGTTTCTCCTATGCAACTGATTTTTGTATCCTTAAATCTTGCTAAACTTATTAGATCTAGTAGCTTAAAAATATATATATATATTTTTTATTTTGGCCAAATTACTGGAGTGTAGCGGGGAGATAGAGAGTGAAAGCAATATTGATCAGTTGCCTCTCATGCGCACCTGACCAGGGATCAAACTCACCACCTCTCAGTGTATGGGATAGTACGGTATAATGCCCCAACCAATCGAGCCACATCAGCCAAGGATCTAGTAGCTTTCTTTTCTTTTCTCTTTTCTTTTCTCTTTTCTCCCTCCCCCCCCATCTCTGTTTGTCTCTCCCCCCCTTCTCCCCCCCCCTCCTTTCTTTCCTTCCTTCCTTCCTTCCTTCCTTTTTTTCTTTCTTTATTTCTTTCTATTTATTTATTTTGATAGATTCTATCAGATTTTTTATATAGACCAGTGGTCGGCAAACTGTGGCTCAGGAACTACATGCGGCTCTTTGGCCCCTTGAGTGTGGCTCTACCACAAAATACCATTGCTTGGGCGAGTTTATTTTGAAGAAGTGGCATTAGAAGAAGTTTAAGTTAAAAAATTTGGCTCTCAAAAGAAATTTCAGCCGAAACAGGTTTGGCTCAGTGGTAGAGTGTCGGTCTGCGGACTGAAAGGTCCCGGGTTCGATTCCAGTCAAGGGCATGTATGTTGGTTGCGGGCACATCCCTGGTACGGGGTGTGCAAGAGGCAGCTGATCAATGTTTCTCTATCACCGATGTTTCTAGCTCTCTATCTCTCT